GTTGCAGTGTATCAAGTGTGAAACTGAGAAGAAGCTTTTTTACTGATATCCAGATGTTTATTGATACTCATACAGTTTGAGCAAATGGTGCTAAAAGCTATTATCCTAAAACATCTTGTCACACATTTACTGTTCTGTGTGTTAATGTCTGGGGACAGAGCTTTTCTGGCAAAATCTACACCCTGTTTCTAACAGGGGAGTAACTGAAATTCAAATTAGTGTTTATGATAATTCATGTAGCTTTTCACGCAAGTATTCTTGCATGCAATTGCTTCACTTCTGAAGAGCCCTTTTTAGTGTCACTGGTATTTGTGAACTTACCAGGACATGTTACTAACTTTTTTTATATTCGGAGAAACTTGCTCTTAGGATGGTGTATTGATACCTTACTGAGGGAATTAAATGTTAGAAGAACCTGAGTGCAAGAGGTCTAATTTTACTCTTAAGTGATTTATCAAGCTTGAGTTAATATATAATGACATAATCAGTCACACTTTTTTTTTTTTTAATGCACATGGAATGTGATTTAGTTACATAAGGAAAACTTACAGAACTGTAATAGTTAACGCATTTGTTTTGCAGTATCTAGGATTTGGGACACCATCTAATATGGGAAAAGGCAGAAGAGCTGCAGCAGCAGCTGATCTTGCAAATATAAGTGGAGAGTCTGATCCACATGAAGATATTGAAGAAAAGGATCGCTTGCTGCGTCATGTGGAAGCCAGAGATCTCATTGAGTTTGGCATGATTCCCGAGTTTGTGGGACGTCTGCCTGTTGTAGTTCCTCTGCACAGCCTAGATGAGAAAACCCTTGTACGGATTCTTACTGAGCCACGAAATGCTGTGGTTCCTCAATACCAGGCACTGTTCAGCATGGATAAGGTTTGAATTTTTATTTGATGACTCTTCAATATTCTTGTTTATAAATAGTGTTAAAGTGATCTAAAATATCAAGTGACATCACTTCTTGCCCCCACATATGCACTTCCCCACTCTGAAAATAAGTAAGCTAACTTGTTAAAACCTGACCAGTTTAGACTGGATATTTGTCCTTGTGGGGCAAATGATCTGGAAGTAATTGAGCTGCTCTTCCATGTTAACATTCAAATGAACATCTGTGACCTTGCCTAATAGACATCGAGAGCCGCTTCCTGTGCTGTAGAGGTACTTGTAGTAGTTGTATGTGAAGGGATCAGTACTGGGAATGTTAGTCAAATATTAAGTGTAGCTGAAGCTTTCTGTGTGTAGCTTAAACGTTAAATGTTCTGGTCTGTAACAGACAGCTACTGTCTGTTATTTTCAGTAATGCGCTGTTGCACTCAACACATGTGAGTTATGAATTAAATAAATAGCTTACTGTTTTTCTCGATATAGTGTGAATTAAATGTAACTGAAGATGCATTGAAGGCTATAGCCAGACTGGCCCTGGACAGAAAAACTGGTGCAAGAGGTCTTCGATCTATAATGGTGAGTATATTGTCTCATATTGAGTAAATGAAGCTATGTACATTTGCGTGTACGAACTTAATTGTGACAATTTTCAGTCAAGACCTCACTTAATTCTGGGTCTTGTGCAGTAAGTCTTTCTAAAAGTTTGAGTATTCAGACTTCTTCCAAGAAAATCCTGTAGCTCTGAAAATGACTTGCTAGCCATATTGTTATGTAGAAGAGGGCATACAGAAATATTTTTTCCCTCTATTTTCTTGTAGGAAAAGCTGTTGCTGGAGCCCATGTTTGAAGTGCCCAATTCTGACATTGTATGTGTGGAAGTTGACAAAGATGTTGTAGAAGGCAAAAAAGAGCCAGGATACATTAGGTAAAACAATAATGGAAGTATCAGAACAGATGAGTAATACAGCTGGACAGGTATTCTGATGTTTGCTATAGGAACAAACATATAAACACAAAATTGTGCACACAAGCTGAAAAGGATCCAATTCTCTGTATATTGTACACAGCTGAATTAGTGCCTGTTCTGTCTTAGACACTTTGGGTTTGTATTGCTTTAGTTTTTAAATAGAAATTTTAAAATAAACTTATATATGAAGTTACTTTAAGCCTTTTGTGTGTGTGTGTGTGTGTGTGTATACCTGTAGAAATAGAAGTAGATTATAAGCATTGTAAGTTAACAGTAACAATCTGAAATTTAATAGCAGCTGTACTGAAATTTCTGAAAAGGAACTTTTTCCTTCTTCCTGATTTCTACACTGAGGTGGTTTATTTTAAATGCAATCTCCAGGCTGCTGTAGTTTTCTTCTCCCTTGCTTTTGAAGGAGTGGAGAGCCACAAAGTCACGCTATTGATTTACTGAACCCTTGCTAAAATAATCATTTTAATGTTGTAAGGATGATATTATGGTAATAATGTGGTGTAATGCTGAAAGCACTGGACAAAACTGGATTTAAAAAAAAAAAATAATTTAGTGAACAAAAGATGGGGCTGAGAGGGAATGGGTCAGGTTAGAACCTCAGGTCTGAAATTTGGGAACTCTGACTTGGTTTCTACCCTGACAGCCTTTTTGAGTGAGTGTTTCCACTGAGGTACATGCTTTATTATATTCATCTGTGTCTGTGCTGAAGCTTGGCTTGGCACACCTAGTGTCTTGAGAGGGGTGGTTGGAGTGGAATGTACTAAGACTGATTGATGGGTTGCTTTAAGTGTTTTTGTAGAGCACAAGAATTCACGTTTGCTGTAAATACTAAATTTACTGATTAAATCAAATAACTGAATTTGGTAGCATTTTGATTTTCAGTAATGAGGCTGCATACTGGTAGTAGTGTAAATCTGCACAGCACCATTTTCAGACTAGAAGGTCATTTAGCAGATGGATCCTTGTCAGAGCATTTGTCATTGGGGCACTTTGCAGGTGGCATGTTTAACAGAAGCTATGGAAACTGTCTCCATTCTTCCCTTCCATTTCTAAAGTATCTGATCAGTTTGTTTTAATTATAGGGCTCCCACTAAAGATTCATCTGAAGAAGAGTATGACTCTGGCGTTGAGGAGGAAGGCTGGCCTCGACAAGCAGATGCTGCAAACCATTAAATACTGTCAAAATGCTCACCTGCATAAAGTACACGTGGTTATTTCCTTACGATTGTCTCTGGCTTCAGTCTGATACTACAGGCATTGGATCTCTCTTGGATACAATACGTGATGAGGAACTTTATTAGATAAATCAGATCTTATATTTTATTGCAACATCACATTGATTAATTGATGGACATTGTGTGGACTTGGATGGCATAATGTTCAAATATGAATTGTATATTACACTTGTTCAATTAAAATGTATAGCAAATATAGTAGCACCTGGATTGCTCTTTCTAGAAGCTAAAACAGCAATGTGGGTGCTGCCCATAGTTAGGTTTTACAATAATGTTACTCTACAAATGGGAAATCAAGATTAAGAATCAGTAGATGGTGAATAAACTATTAGCTCCTCATATGAGTCACAGGGGGGTTACATTCAGGTCAGTGTTAGATTTCTGCTGGTGTTTGAAACCAGGTGGGTGCTGGAGTGACTTGTTACATTGGTGGGGGGAAGCCCTTGCAACAGGGTTTTGGAAAAAATGGAATACACTTTCTGACACTGCTGGGAGATTTTGCAAAAATGTGACACTAGTTGTTACAGTAATTTGAATGCGATATCAAATAATATCTTCACCTCTCCGTTAGGAGTAAGTTTCAGTCACCTTGAATACTGTGAAAGAAGGTGAAGTCAGTAATTTGCTGATTTTTCCAGAGGGGTAAACAAGATTTCTAGGAAGTGGTAAGCCATCTGAATTTGGATGAGAAGTCGACTTAAATTTTAAAATATTAATGTTCTAATATAGTACATTTTGTTTAACGTATTGGAACTATCATGCATCAATTTTTTGGTGCCAGGTATTTGCCCAACCTATCTTATAATGTTAAGAGATGAAATAAGTAAATGTATAATATTTTTGATGTTACCAGTAGTGATTGTTCACATGACAGTGCTTTTTAAGTTATATGCTCAAATGCTAGTTTTGCATCGTGGTTTTGTCTTTGATTTTTAGTCTCATGGCAAAGCAACCCTCCCTTTCTGTTCTACACCAAAATTATTTCAATCCTTTAGGAAAGTCTTTGTAAAAACACTAAAGGACCTGTATGTCTTTAATTTGTTTCAGGAATTAAAATTGTTGCTTATGACTTTTGTTTTGTCCTTTGGTGATACGTGGACTTAAGTTTTACTAACCTTTTTTTCTAAAATTTTAATACACCATATTTAAATAAAACTTCCATTCTTTTCAGTCTAGTGGATGTGTTAGGACAGGAAAGGATACTGCAGATGTGTTGACCCTATTTTTGTTGTTAATTTTTGTCACGTAAATTTTATGTAATACTTATGTTCTTATCTAGAAACAGTGTGATGTGCAGTTGTAGTCAGGTGCAACAGATACTTCCCTTAGGATTTCACTTGTTTTCAGGTTAAATGACCCACTAATGGTTCAGAAGAAGCTGCATTGGGAGTTCAGGATATTTCTAGAAACTTTAGTCCCCTCAAAATGGGAATCTGTAGTGAACTATCTGTAACTGCATCCTCACTTTCCTTTTTGTAGAGTGAAAAAAAATAACCGCTTTTACTTCTGAATCCTTTAATTCAAATCCTTTTTTTAAACGCATTGAAAAAAACCCAACATTTTAGGCGAAACTGTTCAACAACTTCGTTTTGAAAGTTGTTTGGAATTATGTAACCAAGATCCATTTTTAAGGACATGAAATGCTGTAACTACAGTTTGTACTTCACCTCTGGCGTTTGAATAAAACAAAGCGAATAATCAAGCAGCGGAGAGTTGTCATCCCTGACGTTATCCCCAGAAATTTTAAATGTTGTGGGTGTGTTTATTTTTTTTAAGTCGATCTATATCAAAGGAAAGGTGCTCTGGCGGCTGGGGGTGGCTGGGCGGGGCGGGGCGGCC